TTGATAACGCACCGATGTTTTAGTTGTTGCTAGGTAGTGCTTACACTGGCCAAGGACTTTCTAGTTTCCCATGCTCTACCGACTGAGAAGGCTGCAGGTGCACAAGAAGCTGGGAGGGGGCACAGCCAAACTGGCCAAAGGGACATTCCATACCATGTGACGTCATGCTCAGTACATAAACTGGGTGAAGCTGGCCAGGGGGGCCTCTGCTCGGGGACTGGCTGGGCATCGGTCAGCGGGGGGTGAGCAATTGTACTGTGCATCACTTGCTTTGTGTATTATTATTATCATCATATTATTATTATTATCATTTTATTTCAATTATTAAACTGTTTTTATCTCAACCCACGAGTTTTTCTCACTTGTGCTTTTCCAATTCTCTCCCCCATCCCACCGGGTGGGGGGGAGTGAGCAAGCAGCTGCGTGGTGCTTAGTTGCCGACTGAGGTTAAACCACGACAACAGGCAACTTCATTTTTAGGTTTTCCAGATTCAGAGTCATAAAGAGCTTATTCTTTACTGAAGTCTTTAGAGTAGTTCACCCTCTTGTTTCGTAGTAGTTCACATTTGTTGCTTTAGTCTACAGAAATACTGGGTCTTCCTTTACATTCAACAGGAATTACATATAAAGCTGCTAATACAGAGGCTTAGCAGCATTACACTCAAAAATTCTGATTCTGAAGGTAATCTTTTCTACCTCTAAAACAACAGAACGCTCAATTAAGCATTCTCAATGCTTCTCCATTTTCAAATAGTCACTCAAGCACTTAGTGTCACTCAGACTCCAACAAAAACTAACAAGATTATCACTGCTAAACTCACATAACAGGACTTAAAGTAATAAACATCTCACCAAGCTCCAGCTTTGCTACTATTTCAATCTGCAAACAGCTTGTGACATGCCAAACAAGCCTGTGACAATGCTACAGGCTTAACAGTTCACTGAATTTCAAGAGAATTAGGGAAATCAGTTTATTTTGTGCCTACCTATAAGATAAAATATACAGTGAAAGAACCCCATGTGTTGCTTAACCCTCATGAGAAAAATACCTTAACCAAAAAAACCCCCACCAACAAAACCCCAAAACAAAACACAACAAAAACTCTCAGAGAATGCTCTCAACTTGATTGATCACACATAGCCGCCAGTCTTCCAGTAGGCTAAGGAAAATATTCTGAAAACAGTAAGTCATGCCAGTCCCATGAAACCCAGGAGAAACATTATCACCTACCGCCTATTTGACTTACAGCTGCCACTACCCCAACCCACCCAAAATCCTCAGCTTCTACTCTTCCAGGGCCCATAGTGCAGTCCCAGGGCAGGTTTCTCATATATACCAAAGCTGTTTTCTTTCCAGGGTACAACCCACACAATGAATTTTTCTTAAGTACTTTGAAGCAAAACACAGCAAAAGTTCTATTAAATTCTGATACAGTGAGCCGAAGTTGAAGTTCACAAAAAGTACTGTCATCTTGCTTTGTATGAAGCAAGCATGAACCTATACTGTTCTAGCCTTAAGTTCACCTCATAGTATGAAATAGCCAACTTACAGGTATCACACACTGCAGACTGATAAACTTGGAAGCTTGCTACAGAGAAGAGCAGAGATTTCTGATACATCAAAGGGACAGAAAGCGTTCAGGATACCGATTGTTGTGCCAAAATAATATTTGTGATTTCCAAATGAGACCTTAACTCCCCTCACACTTGATACAAACCTGGTATACGCAGGTATCAATTTAGTTCAAAAATCAAAAACCCACCCACAATTAGCTGGCAGAGTCCCTAATATGGCCACAAATCTATTGAAATTGAGGCCGCTCAGACACCTGTTTCCAGAAGAACTGAAAAGAAAGGAAAACATGTAGAAAGAGGAAGTCATAAAGCAAGGTAGTAAAAGCAGAAAAATAACATATCTTGGGGGTTTATTCCATTCTTACTGCTTTATTTCATGTATGATTATTAGTCTGTTTTCTAGCTTTCACCAACAAATCTAAATTCAACAATTCATATTTCAGTTACATAAAGAATACAGACTCAAGAATTCACCTATCAGTAAACTGACAGGATTTGAAAATGCTATACACTCCAAGGAGGATTAGAAATTAAGGACAGTTTTCAAAACCAAAGTCTTTAAAGTCAGCTTTGTTTAAGCATTCACATACTAGATCAAAAGTAAGAATAATTGCAAACTATGATTCAACCATTTCTTTTAACCTATTTTCGAACTATCACTTCAGCTGAAAACAGCCTTCTTGAAGTCCCTGTTATTATCAATAAGCAAGAAAGGGCAAAGTAGAACAAGAGGACAATGACCAGATTACTACCTTCCACACTCTCAAACCAGCTTCCTGCACATGAATGAAATTAAATCTAACTCCAAACCAACACCCAACAACAAAAATACTGTAAAGGAACCACCTGTATTACCCGGAGTCTTTACAATAAAAGAAAATTTAATAGCAAAGGCTATTTGCTTTTATTCTTTTGTACCCCATTCAACATAAATACTTCAACTTCAAAATTGAACTTAACTTCTAATTTTCGTAAGTAAATTGCTTTGAAAGCAGTTAAAGCAGAGTCTAACACTTGAAATAAGCTTAAATACAAATATACTATGAATATTTTATTAATACCAGCTTCAGCAAAACTTTGATTTCACACATCAAAAACTGAGGTCCCAGGTAGGTTTGAAAAGATCCCTAAATGCGTATTGCCTGCAGTTAAGCTTACATCCATTGTACGTCTCAATCCCATTAAGCTTACCCTCCAGCACTTATGTATCATGTTAGTCATGCTGTCCTATGACCGCTGACACTGGCAGCTTGTATTTGGTCAAGGTGCCAGAAGTGGGATGAATTAAAAGAAAAAAAAAAAAGAACAAACATAGATAATACACCAATTACTCAAGCACTGCTACACTGGCTAAAGAAACATCTTTTTCGTGTCCTCATATATTAACAAGCAAGCACGTGGAACTGCATGGTACTGCATCTGTGCTTTCACTTACACACCTCCTGTATCTTCAGAGATAATTCAAATATAGCATGTACAACCAGAATACTTCTTAAAATACTGCAAATGTTCAATCTTATTGTTGCCAGAATTTATAATATGAAGATCACAATACACAGTGAAAAAAAGCTTTTTTATGAAAAAATTAGAACATGAAAGTCACACAGAAACACATGCGTAATAGTCATAGTATCTTACATCTTTAAAAGATGTAAGCCAACTAAAAGGGAATTCAACACAAATGTCGTTGGGTAGTCTGAGTTCTCATTCAGCAACCCGCTACCCGCTGCAATAGAATGCTGCAGTACTGACATTTTGAAGGAACAATTAAGTACACAATTAATGCAGAGAATTATTTTAATTAAAAACATTAATTATTGTTTTTCTGTTATTAATTATTTTCTGTTTATTAATTAAAAACAGGAATTATTTTAATTAAAAACAAAGCAAACATATCTTGCCTACCTAGCTGCTCGATGATGCTGGAAACTGTCCCAAAGAGCTTCAGTTCAACATCATCAGGCAGAATTATTGATAAGTCTTCAACAGGAGGCAGTTCCTGAAAATATCAAGTCAATGTTCAGAATATAATCTCGTCACACTACGACATTCATCACTTTGTTGCTGCTTAAATTTGACAATCAGAAAAACCTCCTAGCATTCTGAAGATTTAATAAAAAAATCTAGTTTGATTTGCCTCTTTCAGAATAATTCTAAATGAACTTATCTTGGGAGAACGTCACTTTTGAAGACACCTTTTCTATTGAGATGCTACTCTATATACTTCCACTGCATCTAAAGTAGAAGCCAGTTTTATTCAACTGGAGAAAATCAACAACTGATAGACATTCTGTTCATGTTTTTGAACTTTAATGTTAGATAAATTCAGTTCAATGTACAACACAATAATTAGGTAATCAGTAATCAAAAAATCAGACAACCTGTAACCACATTCAATGCATGACAGAAGAAAAATGTGCATAGCAAGAGATAAAACAGTATGAAATACACCAGATATGTATCATCCGATTCGACAAAATGGTGTCTGTCCATTTATGCCATAACCCAGACCGTTATAGAAGATGTAAAAGTCACAACAACCTATACAAAGAAAGTTATTTTTAGCTAGAAGATGTATTTGGTACAAGAGGATAATCCTACAGAACACTTTGGAAAAAAGCACCAAACTTCAGATGTACAAATGAGTACTGCACAAAGAATATTCAAATTAAACTTTTTCCTCAAATGTAAGCATCAAAATCTGCTATCAAAGGCTGATTAACACCGAACTCATCATCTACCTCCAATTTACTCATAAACTAAGACTTCTATGTATATACTATACTGCTGTGAATTCAATACGGGCTATATGGAATACAAGGTACGGGCAACTAGCGTAAGAATTATCTTCAAATTCAACATCTTCTGAATTTGGAGGTAGAGTCCAAATCTTAGCACTGAACTGCACTTTTAAAGGCCATCACCAGAAAGAAAATCCCTCTCCAATAGAAGAATCTTACTCCGTCTTACCAAAACTTCACCTGATAATCTTCACTCTTAACAAAAGTGCTTGGCAAAGGCTTCTAGAGCAACTCAAAGACCAAACAGAGGCCAAGACTTTCCCAGATCATATAATGTAACATTAAAGCCAAGACGTGAATTCAGATAGAAACACCACACCCTTCTACAGGACAGTAAGTTTTCCAACATTAAACCAACTTCACTGCCAAGACTTAACAGAGTCATGGATGCCAGAGCAAGTCAAAGGCCAAAGACCAGAAGGAAGAAAGCTAAGATTTTGATCATAAATCTCAAATTGGTAAACTGTACCATCTGTCATACTACATACGGTATCTGCCAATCCTACACTTCAAAGCAGGAGGTTTTAGAACAGTTCCACTAACACTCCTTAATATGTGCACGTTTTTTCCCTTAAGCACACATTCCAGTTAAATACTTTCTTTAATCTTTTATTTTATCTTTAACGCATGCTTTAGCAAGTTAGCTACTATTGGGGACTTTTGGGTAAAAGACTAATCATGTTTCATTTTTAACAGATACATTTTAATTTTCAAATTGTATTCTCTCAAATCTACATAAGACAATCTACAACATTTTTATATAGACTAATTCTATTACTGTAGAATGACTTAGTAGAAGATACAGTAAATAATGTAGTTGCTAGAACTTCAGTTCTTATTAACTATCACCGGCAAAAAGCTATAGCTTTGCTGAACCAATGAAATTAATCAGGCCAGTACTTAAAAGGAAGACAATGTTTTGTAAACACTTGGACTTGAAGCTAGTAAGCTAATGAGACAAAAGAGCAGATCAAAAAAGCATTTTCAGACTAACGTGAATTTAAATAAATAGTTGAGGTAAAAGCTAAATAAAATCTGGTCAGTACATCTATTTGAGCGAGGATTTTTGTTCAAAAGCCCACTGCTGTAAAAAAAATGTTGTCATAGAAGCACTTATAATGGTTCTACTATTAATCACACTTCAAAACAAAGTACATGTAAGCAGGAATTGCTCTGAAGTTTTACTCCTTCAAAACACGTTATGTGTGTTTCTCAATCTTTGATTAATTTCAGGGATAAAAGAATAACCTAAGAGCTTTTCTTTACTCCAAGTGTCTCTAGAGCAACAGTTTAAGAATCAACAACACCCTCCTGTCTCCTGTTGTTGCTACTACGAAGGCATGTCAATGCCTCAGCCTTTCTACACAGTCATTAGCACTTCATTACAAACTCTTACAGAGCACTGAAGCAAAGGTAAATGTATCCAAATGTATCTGCTCTTCAGAGGTTTTTTCTCCTCTACCTTTCTAATAATTTCTTGTACCCTTCACCGGATTTGTTTCTTATTCCAGAAAGCATTTTTTATGAAGGGGAGAGATCTACAGAACAACAGATAAACATATACTGTTAATGTAAATTGACATTACAGTGTTATATTATCCTTTTATTTGTAATTCATTACAAATGATGCATAGCTAATCATCCATTAGCAGATTATTACTAAAACTCATTCCTTTAAACCTCTTAATTTTGAGATAATGAGGAATAATGGCAGCAATACGTAATGAATATGGTATTTATGAGAACCAAAAACAAATTAATATTTGATTAATTTGTTAGTTGCAACAAATTGATGCAAATTAAGGTTCTGACCTGCAATACATAAAGCAGTGCTATAACAAAAACTGCAGAATAAAACAAATACAAACCACTTCTATGACCACTCTAATAATTTTGCTTAAGTGAGTAGAGGCAATGCAATCTGAACCTCTGGGAGGCTTAATACAACATTCGAAATTTTCACCTCAAGGCTAAACGTATTTCAAATATGTCTGCAAAACATATCAGACCTTCAAGTCTCTCACACAGAGAAAGGACAATGAAAGTCTGCAATATACAAACAACAAAAAATGTACTAAAATAACCAGAATTTTATCCAGAAATTTAATGGTTTTCATTAATTACAACTGTGATTTTATACAAATACGAACCTAAAATGAGCTGTGAACCTCACTTCAGCGTGGTCTTAATAGCTTAAAATGTCTTATTTTTCAGTATATTAACTGTGCTATACCTGAACTAGTGTAAAAACGTAGTGTAAAAACATTCAATCACTAGGTATTGCAATGACTTAAAAATATATTAAGTTAAAATATTTTAAGTTGGGTTACCAGAAAAAGGTTTAAAAGATAACACCTTGTACTTACATCAATAGGCAACTCATCTTTTGTTTTAACACAGTAAGATCTGTTATCCTTCTCATTTGGATGATCGTCTTCATCAGATACTGTTGAAGGAGAACACGAAGAGGACGATGTAGTCGAACTATCTGAATCTGTATCGCTGAATAAAACAAACATGGGAGTTAGAATATAGACTTCTACATTACAGATAAAAAGAGTGGCTAGACTATGCATTACTCAAATACCTTCGGCTACCAGGTACGTTTTTCTTAAATGCATACATTTGTAAACAGAAGAGCAGCAATCTTTTCTGAACCTACAAGCCACTGGACAAGATCATAAAAAAAATCTCAGAAGCGCAGTAGCTTTGGCAGTTCAAAGCAAATGCTAACAACTACAGTGGCTCATTTGGGTTCCCACTGTTTCACTGTTGAATGGTGCATGTGGCATGAGAGCAATCACCTCTTTAAGTTCCCCTAGTCCAGTTTCTCCCACTGGCTACCCCATGCAGAAGTCCAGCACCAGCATAACTCCCTATGTCAGACATACGCGATAGTCACAGTTTGGGACCTACGCTTCATTGGTTTGCAAGTAAAATGAGACATTAGAGTCACAGGATGATCACTTCAGTATAGTACCTGGATAAACACAGCCAAATTAGGACCATAATGTCTATGCACTATCAGCATAATTCCATTTTATGCACCACTTAAGTTCCCAGTATTGAACATCACTTGACGTAACTGAACACAAAAAAAATCTTCAAAGATAATACATTAAACTACCTTCTACAGCTCACAGTCACTCTTCTTGTACAATCCCACCATTAGCATAAAGCTAAATGGAACTCAAGAAAATACTTACTCCAAGCAATGCTTCTTGCTCTATGAAGGTACAAAAAAAAAAAAACCCAACCTAATTTTTGCAGATAAAAGGGATTAGTTTCATAATTCATGGCCTGTCTGAATTCCCCTAATATGTATTCACACAGATAAGTAATTTAATGTGTCTCACTGGCACATGCATAAGAGATGTTTATTGTCTTAGACTCAGTATTTCAAGTAAAGAGCACAGTAAGAAGCCAGTCCTTATTCATGTCAACATGTTCCTTTTAGCAAAAGTCTAAGTTCTTCAAGAGTTGGTGGAAGAAACAAACACGTGGAATAATTGATCCTGGTGACTGAAAAAACACGTTACAAACCTTACACAAAAATACACTGAGACAAGCAAACTTCTGTAAAATTGCATCTGTCCTTTCTTACCCCATCTGGCCATTTAACAAAGCAGCATTTAGAAACAAAGTGATAAATAAAATACAAAAAACGCTCCCTTCTAGATTCTTTGGTATTACATTGTCTCCTTCACAAAGCAAATGGATGGCTTTCAATTATCTGTTGCTGCGTTTTTTTCTTCCAACAAATCCTGATAGAAAGACAGCAAATAAGAGCACCTTTCCAAATAAACCTTTTGAGAAAGCCAAATACGGACTTCTTGGAACAAAATCAACAGAGCAGAAAGACAAAAATCAGTCAGACTACCAGAGACCAATCAGTGGAGGGAGGGAAAAAAAAAAGAAAGAAAAAAGTTTGAGATACACATAGACAGCTAAGTTAAAGCTATCAAAATTTCGTCTTTAATATTCATCTGAACATCAGCGCAACGGATTTTGGAAGCAAAAAAGACTACAGGTGAAGCCCCTGCCACAGGTCAGGAATTCTGCTCTCCATCACTTCATGATGTTCTAGGAGAAGTTTGAACCGAGCAAAGTATTTCCAAAGTCAAGATTTAACAACATTAACTGTTAATGAAGCTCAGTATCTTCTTTTTAAGAGGCAATCCTTAGATTTCATTTCAGCCTCCGCTAGTCAGAAGGAGCACATACCCATCTTGCTGCAATGGCCCAAAAAAGAAAACACAAATCTCACTGAAGCTGACAAAGCGTGCAGGCCTCCAAGACTGAAACAGAGCCCACATCTAACCAAAGTTACCTTTCACCAACTATACTGAACACCAAAGCACAGATGCGTGTATAAGATGGAACCTTTTATAAAAAACATACAGGTTGAGAATGAGTGTTTCCACCGAGATGCCAACATTAGAGCACGAGTTAAGGTCGGTAGACTTTTTACCTTGAATCCTACAATCAGTTTTTTTCAGCAGTAACATGGCAGGTGTCTTGTCACAAGTGATGTAGGAGCACTCTGTGAGGACCATGCCAGACAAGACATTCAAACGGTCGTGG